GCTGGCTGACACAAAAATGAAATCATTTGACCATAAACATTGAACTAAATTCAAAATCAATTTAGCGTTATAATGAAAGCCAGCCAGGATCGAAGGCGATGGAGAGACTGTGTCCTAGAAGTCTGCCGCTGGCAATTATGTCAACAATTGACTTCGATTGGCGTTGAATGGGCTGCAGGCATAAGGAAAATAAACTGAAAAACTCATCTACTACACGTGATGGTTTTCAAGTGTTTGGTTGGGATTTAATGGGCAATATATAAGATACACATTTATTCAACACTTATTGGCAAAGATGATTAAGGGATTCCCTTGGCAACGGATGTACAAACACAAAAACTTGAGCCAAAGTCGAAGGGCTTAAGTAAAGCCAACTGAGCAACTGCAAAGTAAACTTCTTCGGCAAAATCTGTTTTTTTTTTTTTGTTATTTTGCGAATGGCAGTCTGTTGACTTTAAAGTTGCAAAGTTTCCACGCTGCGATATGCATATAGTGAACGGCCATAAAGATGCCATGAAAGTCCTGGCCAACTCCGCCGACAAATAGCCATAAATAAGTGCGATGGCAAATACCCATGCTACCTATTGGCCATTGTTGCCCCAGAATGGCGACAACTGCAGTAGTCCAGAAGCTTATTTATGCCCCCAGTTTCGTCCGAAGAAGCCAAGAAAAAAATTGAAAAAAAAAAAAAAAAAAAAAAAAAACAGTGGTGGCCAAAAGTCAAGTGAATTTCCTTAGCACACAGACACACAAACACACTGCCATGAAATGTAGTTTGTTATGAATTTCTGCTACATCCTTTCTCGGTTTCGGTTTGGGGTTTGCTTTTTACCCTTTTGTATTTTTCGGTTGCCAGAGAAGCGGGTCGCAAACACATCCGTAAACAATTTGTTCATGCTCCTATTCGCTTTTATTTTTGCTCGGCTTTTTGTTGCCGCTACCCGATAAGCAAAATAAAGAAATGAATGCGGAGAATTGAAAATAGGCAACCCTATTACAAGGGGCTACAAATGGTTGCCCCAACAAAAACAATTCAAATGAACTGCCAACCCGAAAAGGCGAAAAACGAGAAGCTCGGGAATTTTTCAAGTTTTTCCAAGCGCGCTCGCCCCATTTAAAAAAGGGTTAAAAAGGGGCAATCAACGCTCTTGGTGGCAATTGGCAAGAAAAAGGTTTAAACTGGCGCGTGGGAAAGAGTTTCCAGTATCACGGTTGAGTTATAGGATATCGTTAATCAGGGCGATTATGATGCCCTTTCCATTTGGCTCCCAAAACTCTAAAACAGCTGTAATTATTGTTGTTCATTTCCGAATGTAATGTCATGCCCTCAAGTAATTGATTTTCATTTTCAAGTGCTAAATACTAATTGAACAAGGCTTTTGTTTTAATTAACCTACCTATTCGGTAGTCATAATAATAATTGAGTACTTCACTTCCGTAAATTTCATTTTATTAAGCATTTCATTGATTTATAATCGTTTTAATTGCTGGATTAGGCGAGATTACATTGAACAATTGCACTAAAGCTGTAAATATTCCTAAGCCTTGGGTTGTTTGGAAAATTTTTCCAAATAAAATTTATTGTGCAATGGAATTTGTGTGCTAAAAACAAGATTTGATAATGGCTTGAATGGTATTGATTAGTTGATTAATTAATATTAAAGGTAAGTGTTGTTTTAAAAACTGTGATTTATAATCGAATTAAAAGCCTTTCAAGTTTAGTTTTCATTTACATAATTTCCCATTTTCTCACTTTTAGAAGCATTTTAAGGAGTGCAGTGAACCGGAAAGGAGACAGTAAATAAATGCATTAGGCTGTTGCTGTAACTTAAAGTGACTTGGCCAATTCCCACTGGCGTTGGTGTGAGTTAGCCTTTTTCCCTGTGTCAACGTAATTTTCCCCTGGCTTTCTTTGCTCCACTTCAGCTCTCGTAGCTCTCGTTCTTGTTTGCCATTTCATTTCCATATGCAGAAAGCAAATAGGCGAACAACATGCAGGGAAAGCGGGTTCAATGGGGAGGGAAAGTGGGAAAAGGGGGCGGCGGGGGTGTGGCCATCGAGTTGCGACTGAATGTTAATACAGGCCCGATACAATTTCGCCCACCCATTTTGTTGGCGGTTGTCTTGGCAGCGGGTTAGATTCCAGTCGAAGCTATTGCTGGATCGCGGGGCTGTGGCATCTTGACAGCCAACAACTCACTGCTCAGTGACACGTGTGAAATGTTATGTTCTGCGGGGTCAGAGGGCACAACAAACGCGGGGAAACGCCGGGGTCGATTCCAAGTTTTTTGACACATACAAGGGGCGAACGATGGCAAATTGGAAAGTCAAGCCGAAGTTGACAGGATTTGCGCGCAAAAGGATTTGCCCGGGAAATATAGCGAATAATACAGATAGAAAAATTACATGAAATTGTTTGACCATTAAAATATATTTCGGGAAATATTTATTAACAAAAGAAACACTGTAATTCACATCTTATTGCAATTTGAAAAAGGTTGACTAAATTATCAATAAAACATAATTATTGTTATCTGTAATACATTTTTATGGAGAACAACATATTTTTATAATGTTTTCTCTGTATATGTATGTGCATTTTATGTGTAACCAAGTTGAACAGGAAAAGGAATTGGAGCAGGAGCTGTTGGATCCGCAGCAGGATAATCGACTGCCTGTCATTGTGTTTACACTAAATTTCAATTAAATTTTGAAGCCTCCTTTGACAACTGACAGTACAAGAATATCGAGAGCCTTCTGGAGAAGGAGGGACTGAATTTTGAAGTAGTATATAGAGGGATCAGGGCAGGCAAAACAATTGCCACTTGCCACTTTTTGGCGAGCAACAACAAATCTCGACCAAACTTTACCAGCAATCTGACGCGGGAAAATGAAGCCACTTTTGCTTAGCGCCCACAACAGCCAAAAAAACAACAACAAACTGCGGAAAAGGAAATCCGAAACAAGGAAAAAAATACCAGCAATCCGCCAAAGTGGGCGGGGATTTGCAAACTGGATTTAAAATGGAAATTATTTGAAGAAAACCAATTCGCTTTATTACTTTGGGGCATACGCAGCTGAGTAAAACAAGAGCAGTCGAGGGTAACGCTGCCAGCAACAAGAATACTGGCAATAACAAAATACCCCCAACATCAGCAACAACAAAAACAATAACAATAACAACTAAAGAACAACAAAAGCAAGCGACCATAAAAATTAATGCAATAAAAACACATGGCCGAACTGGCAGGAGCAAAGGCCCAAACAAAGGACACAAACAATGAGAAGTTGCCTGCCAGAATGGCAAGGAAATAAAGCCAAATGGATGGAATGGAGAGTGTACAGGTACGATATAGTGTTAGGATCGATAACTTTTTGCTTGCACAGCCATCCAACATTGAATGACGAGCAAATATGTCAGCGACAGGGAAAAAAAATAGAAGAATAAAAGATGATGCAAAAAATGTTAAGTCCTATCAATGCACAATCATAATTATTCGCTAATGTAACAACAGGCAGGAATTGTTTTATATTTATTCCGAGTTTTTTTAAATACTAAACTATTAAGACACAAAGGAATTTTAATCAAACGGAATAACATTTTCAAAGAACTTATTTCATTTTGATTTTTATAGTTGCTGTATTTTGTATTGAAAAGATAAGCACAGCGATTGCACAATATTTGAATTCATGTTTAATTCATTTATTTTTAAAATATGACTTTCAGTCTGTCATGGCAATATACTTCCCATTTAATTTCCAGAAAAGTCTGTTAATGTCAGGGGGCTTTTAATAGGTGAGGAGAACTCCTTGGCCTTTCGACTTGGCTTTCTCTTGCCCTTTTGCTCTGTGCAGGCAGCACGCAATTAAAAGGACTTGCGACTCATAAACATTGCGCTTGAGTGGGTGGGTGGTTCGAATGTTGTGCTTGCTCCAGTAACAGCAGCCCCACCGATCCACCCAACCACCCACTTTTGTGCTCCAACCGCCCGAGCCTGTTGCTTTTCGCCTGATTGAGCTCACAGTTTGCGGCTCATAAAGTCAGAGTCTCGGGCATAATTACACTTTTCAATTATGCATAATTATGTGTAGAAAGCAATTTGTGTGTGTTCGGAGCGCGTTTAAAATTTAAAGTGCAGTGACACCAGGCACCTTAGCCCCCTCACCCTTAACCCCTCGATCCGCACGCCACTCCACACTCCACACAACCCATAACCCTTAACCCCTCATTCCTCATTGGAGCTGCTGTTATGCGATATGCCCTTAAAAACGACCCCAAGCGACCAGCAAGCGACCGCATTTGTTTGCTTTGGCTCTACGTTGGTCTCTCGCTTTTTACACTGGCAGAAAACATGGCTCAAAATGTATATAAATACAATATTTCAAAGGTGAGTATAATTTAAAAAGTATTATATATTTATGTATATTTAAAAGGCTTGTGAAACATTTAACAACAGAAAATAATTTGAATATGGAAAAGAATATTTATATATGAAAATAAATAAATTTTTTTATTGTTCTATTATTGCTTAGGCAATATTTTACTATTTGTTTTATAAAACCAAAAGCGAAAAAAGAGCACCAGGAATAAATCAACCATTTATATTGAATTGAAGTTTATCAAACATTTCGTAGTAAATACCATAAAAAGTGTTGTAAAAAGTATATAATGAGGTGATTTTTTCCCGGTGCACCATCGCTTTCACTGCTCCTGCTGCGGTTGGCAGTGGCCATGTCAGAACAGCAGCACAGGACTGCAAGGACAACGCAGCAGGCAGAAACATAAATCAGGATTTTCGCAGCCCGAACCACAAATGTTTTTAAAAGGATTCAGCGCCCGGCGAGGCGGCAACAATAACAACCTTGAGCGGGGCGGAGGGCCTATATTGTATATGTATATTGTATATATATATTGTATTGCTGATAATCTTATGCATGCTTAAGCAGGCTGTGGAATATGGTAAGCGAATGTGCGGGAGGATCGGAGGAACTTGACTTACCCGTCAGGCAGCAGAAAAGTGCCGTCCACAGGGTCAACATTTTGCGATGACCCACTCGATTCGCGGTCTCCTTTTAGTGTTGCTGGCTTACTTCTCTTAGCTCCTTCGCACCTCTATTAACTCCTTTTTCTACCACTTTATCGGGTTTACTTTGCGTCCTATCAGTTCGCACTCTGTTTGCTTTGCGAGCTTTGATCTATGGGCAATCTCTGGGGAAGATATATTTTTGTTTTGATTACCCTTGTTCACACACAGCACTTTTTACGTGTCTCTCATTCTATTAGCTCTAACTACAGAGAGAAAAATTGCAAGACAATTTATTGCAGAATTTGATATAATATGATGGGTTCTGGAAATCACCTAAATAATTGAGATCATCATTTTAAAAGTGTTAATATTGAAATATCAGTACCAATTCAAGTGCCATTGAACTAATGTAACATTTATCAAATGGTACAAATAATAGTAGACTTAAAAGTTATTATCATTTTTTCTCTCTGTAGCTTTCGGCCTGTTTTTCGATTCTCCCTTTTCGTTTCGCGTGAATTAAACACTTGCAATGACATTTAAAACACTTAATATCAATGGCAGACAATTTAATCCTTTAACGTTCGTTTGTTGAACTTTTTCTGCAATGTCCTTGTTGTTGCACGTCCTTGCTGCTCCTGCTGCTATTATTATTATTGTTGTTGTTGTTGTTGATGTTACTGCTGCTGCTGCTGCTGCTGTTGCAGTTGCCATCGTATTTGCTCTTTTGGCTCGTCCTAGGCCGGAATAATATTTTTTGTTGTCCCGCTCGTTTCGCATTTCCATGGACAACTTTTTATTTTCTTTGCGCCTGGAACCTGCCCAAAAAAAATTGATTTTCGTCTGGGGCTAAAGAGCTTTAAAAGGAATTTCATTCGTCCTGTTTTTGTTGCTCTTTGCTACTGCTTCTCATGCTATTATGAAACATAAATTGATTAAATTTGTGTTGGTGTCTGCTCTGATAAGCCAGATTTTAACAGTATGCAAAGTATGAGTATTTTTGACTAAAATATAGCAAAAATTTCCATTTTAAGTTTGGGGAAAGAGCCAGGAAAATCCTCTTACTAAGCAGAATAGCATTGAATAAGCATTGAACAAATAATTGCAATTATCGATGGTCTTGTGTGAAAGGGGAATCGAAATGAATCAAGAGGGATACTTTTTTCCACACCTTGTTCACAGAAAAGTTCACGGTACTAATGAGGAAAACTTTGATTTCGGGAAACGCCCAAACCTAAAAACCCAGAACCGCCCTTCTATTCCCTTTGGAAAACCTGCTCATATCTTGCATATAATTATGGTTAATGCATAAACCAGAATCAGTTATTGACAGAAGTTGGGAATTGTCTCCGGTCAGCTGGCAGGTCCTGCATATTTCATGGGTCAAACTTCGATGGCATGTGGCCGGGTTCCAAAAATAAAACCCTCAACTATGAGAAGTTTGTGGAGAACTGTTCAAAGCTGTCTCACCTCGAGTCCACATATATCCATCCGCCTGTGGCTATTTTCAGACCTGCTGCTACCCATTCAGTTTGGCATCAATCAATTGCTTGGCCCAGGGGAAAAACTTTCCTGCTGCTCGGCCGCGCCGTTTCCCTCACATCTAATTTGTTAAACATTTGCTGGGGAATTGCCTTTTTCACACGCCCCTGGAAAACGGTGTGTGTTTTTCTCTTGAATTCGTTCCCTCACACTGTGTGAAATTAATTAAAACTTAATTAATTGCAAACTTCGCTGGCGCAAGAGAGACAGACACACTAATGAGCTGAGGGAAGGGATTACGGTCCGAGTTCAACTGCAGGAATTCTTTGACACGCAAGGCAAAAAAAAATTAAGTACACAGTTCGCAGAAAAAAAATTAAGTGATATATCGAGAACAACAAAAAGTTTTCAGTTGAAAAAGTAATGAGTATTGCTTGTATGTAAAAAAAAAAAAAAAACTAATTTCTCTTTAAAATGAAATATACACAAAATAAAATAAAAATATGGTATGCACTTTTTGTAATAAACATAAAAATAGTAAATTAAAAACGGTATGGTGCCTATTCAATTACGTTTTCATTCTTTCCATTAAATCAGCCTAATTAAAAGTGAATATAATTTTTTTATTTAGCAAAAGATCTTACAAAAAGTGTTTATTAATAAGATAGAAAATAAATGATGTGTAGTTTTTACCTTTACATTCAAAAGGAAATTAAAAAATGCCATTGATCTGCTATGTTTTTCATCTTTTTGCTATATATTGCTTTGATATTTCATATACAAACACATCGTAATCAATACTCATGACCATAATTGATTCCCGTTTCTAAGTTTTCCCTCTGCAGGATCCTCTCTGTGTGACTTCAATCAGAAGTGCCTGCTGCTGACATGTTATCCTTCTGGACTGCTCCTCTTTCTCCTCCTACTGCTTTTCGGAATCCTGCCTGGAATCCTTGGCCACTTGTCACTGTTGCTTCCGTAATGGAATTAGAGAGGGGGCCAAGGGTGTGTGGGAATGTCAGGAGGACAAGGCCCGAGGCAAGGACTCGTGGATGCAGGACTCGGAGACGGAGTCTGAGACTCCTGCCAACGTCAGCAGTGTCTCTCAAAAGTGTTAACGCACTCAATTGCTTCGTCCATCTCCGTGCCCCGCCAACTATTGCCCTCTCTTTCTGCGTATGCCCCCGGGTCCTCTTGCCTCTCCTTCTAATTGTAAGCGTCTGCACTCTGCTTCCCAGCTCGGGGCCACTGTCTGCTCTAATGCTTAGTAACTGTGATTAGGAGGAAACTTTAGTTCCGGGTGGGTTTAATTCTCCACCCCCCTTCGAACCCCTGGGGCGAAATTTGCTTTTGTTTTTCAGTCCATTGTGTGTCGGTTAATTCCTGGTGTATGAATATTTTATTGAGGAAGGTTTTCTCTTTTTATCGGCAACATGGCATTATGTGCGAGAACAAAGAAAGGAAACAATTTAATTGTGTTTGGGAATGGCAGCCAGGACTCCTCATAAGCTGGTGGCCTTAAAAAGTTGGATACCCCAAACAATAGTTTTGCGGCAAAGGAAGGAAAACGAATGCGGAGCCAAAGTACTTGACACTTGACAAAACTTTTCCATCAACAACTGCAGTCGCGACAGGCGAAAGTTTTTGTCCCAGGAAAACTTAATTTTCTCGAGCAGCCACAAAATCCCATGATATCATGCAAGTTTCGAGTTTTTTAAGCAGCCCGCACATTGCGCATACGCACTGTGATCAGCCACATACTTTTTGGTTCTGTCGCAGATTTCCCTCCACACTTGTTTTCCGTTAATATTTTATGTGTTTTCTATTAATTTTTGTCACATTCTTTTAGTGTTCCGCCGGGCCTAAATATTGGATTACACAAAAAAATGTATTAACGCCCGATATTTGTGGCAGCGATTTGTGTTTTGACGCAGATCAAAGATATAGTAGTTTGCCCAGCTTTTGTTTGGTTTTTTTGTGTTGTTTTAATTTGTTAATTTGTGTTTGGGGTCTGGGCGCTCTAAATATAAAACAACTTAATTTGCTGCATGCTAATGAGTGGGGTGGGGGTGGGGGAGGTCTGGAAAAGGGGGCGGAGCTGGAGGTCGTTGTGTGGGCGTTCGACACTTTTATAATTTGTTTGCCTGCAGACGGATCGCTCTGCAGCTTTTGTCGCCTGTCGCAGCTGACAAGCTGCCAACACGCACCGAATTTCGTTAGATTTCTTATTACTTTTTTTGGTATATAATTTTTGGATACGATGTCGTAAAACATTCGCGTGCCGAAAGCGTTTTCGACTTGGCAACAAAAGCAGCAACAACATTGGCAATAACAGTAACTGGAACAGCACAAAAACAGCGACAAAAGGTCATTCAATTTTCGACTGCCGGCAATGGGGCAATGAGGCTTTTCCTGCGTTTTCACACGTTTTCCAAAAATTTACGACCCAATTGTGCCCGCTTTTCTTATCCGTTTGGCACTCACACACTTTTGCCTTACAAACTCGCACACACACAGGCACACGCACACTGGTCCGGAAAATGTCGCACCTCACGTATTTGGGCCTCACATTTCCATCAAACTTTTCATTGGTTTTCCACGCGCTTTTCCGCGCCTTCGCCTTTCGTTCACCGTCGATGTCGCGCTGAAACTGAAACAGAAACTGAAACTGATTTCTGCCAGCAGTGGAGCATTATTTTTTTTTTTTGGGACTCGGGGGGATTTCCGAGCGAGCACGAACCTTTATCAGCGGCGATTCGGGTTTGTTGTCTTCGCCTCGGGAAAAACGGGGAGAGGGGGTGGCAAAGTCGAGTACCGAACACTGCTACTCCTCTTGAATTCGCCGCACTGCGCTCTCCTCTCTCGCATTTCTCTCTTACATTCATCTTAAATCTCTTTCAAGGTCTAGCAATAAAATGTTTCAAATAGTTTTTGGAATTTGCATTATTTTGTTAGGGCCATCAGGGGAAATAACTTAATGATGTCGAATTATGTGCTTAAGCCAAATGAAGGCTTGCTTTACGATTGTTTTTTAAGGGGTTAAGTTGATTTTTATTGCCGGAACTTGAGATACAAGCTGTGATTCGAGTTCATAAACGCAAAGGAAATTAAATGGAAACGAAGGTAGTAACCAAATTTATGGTTATACTTAGGTAATGAAAATACGGCATTTGCTATGGGTACTTTAAAAGTAAATTTTAATCTCTGTTGACCGTTAACCTAATTCCACCTCGTGCTTTTATTGACTGAAGACGATTTTTGGAATCTAAGGTATGTCTGATTTTATTTGGCCTATAACATTTCTTAATATTGTCCGATTTTGAAATGGTATACCTCAAAATGCTTGTAACATAGTCCGCCAAGATACTGCATCCTTAGATTGCTTCCGATGTTTAAGCCAATTTTTTCACATTTTTATCCCTGTCAAAAATCGGAAAAATAGCTTTTTCGGAATAACGCCCAAAACCAGCACTTCTTAGCCCCTAACTTCCATTAATGATGTCCGATTTTCGAGAATTATATTAGAATATTAAGGCATATTCGAAATAGCTTTTGTCTAGAGTTATATACGCGTTAAACAAATCAACAAAAAAACGCTTAGGAATAATCTCAACTTTTTTTACAAAATGAACTCATGTGCCAATCTTGAATAAAACGAGAACTGAGGAGTGTTATAACTTATGGTGCACAAAAATTCGCGATAAGACAGCATTATATTTCCGGCTGTTGTAGCCAACAAATAATATAAAAATGTACATATATTATAAGCAAAGAAGATAAGAAGCAAAAGACAAACAAATTCGACTAAAAATCGGATGCGTTAAATTAGCCCATCACTTAGAAGGAAATCTTATCAGTCTGCCTTAGACAATATCTTAGGAAAGACTGGCGACCTTAGGTCAGTGCCAAAGAGTATTTTTACAGAATTAGGAAAAGAGCGCGCATGCACTAAAAATTACAAAGTTCTCTTCGGGACGCTCTTCCATTTTTTTGTGTCTTCTTGCGGCGAATTGGATAATGTGGCCAGAAGGCAGGGATTTCAATAAAATACACTGGAGTTGGCACAAAAAGAGCTAATGACAATATAAATTCGCATGTCGTATGGAAATGTGTGGCAGATGGGAAGCTGGCGAGATGGTCGAGAGATTTTCGCGCTCTTTGAAGGGAAATGGTGGAAAAGGGGGCAGTGGAAAGGGGGAAAGTGGGAAAGTGGGGAGGGTCCAAGGCAGCTGACAGCAGTTATCGCTGGAGCGAAAGGCAGTAATTAGCGTAAATTGAGTTGGTAAAAAGCGCAAGTGTTCAAAATCCGACCACCCAAGTGTGCCACCCCCCGCCAAAGAAACCGCCACCCCCCGAAAACCCACCCACCGTAGTAGTTGTCCTTTGTTTTTGTGGCTGCTGCCACACCACTGCTGTTGTTGATTATGTGGCAATTAGTTGTCGCTTTTGTGGCAAGCCGCGCGACACTTTCAATCAGAGCTTCTTATTCCGACAGCCACATAATGCCCATCCAGGTGGGGATTACTGAGCTAATTAAACAAGCCGATTACGGCCCGACATCCCGCTGACCTTGGCCAGGTGCCACGCCCTCCTCACCATGCCTCCGTGCCGCCCACTTTAAGTCCATCTCGAGAAAGTTTGACCCGACTCCTAACCAAGGAGACCCCACAACATTTCTCCAGTTATCAACTTTCTGCACATATTGTCAGAGGTGTTTAAAAGTCTGGTTCACTGGGTGGGTTAAGTGGGCGGTCGGGAATTTAAGGGGGCGTGGCAGCAGTCTAATGAGCGGCATTCGGTACTTGCTCGGTATTAGAAACTTTACCCAAAGGCAAAAAACCAAAAGTTTCCAATTTGGTTGCACAGAAAATATTGTGGCAGGAATTTCGTTTAACTTTGCACTCAACGAATAAAAAATGCACTCTGAAAATTATGATAAAATGTTCCTAAAAAGAAAATACAAATATTGCTACAAGTGAACCGAATAATTTTAAGTGTGCACTTCTCTTATTCTTATTTCACTTTAAAATATAACCTAAACGATTGATGACTTAGGAGAAGTCAAAGCTTCCGACTTCCAACTTAATGCTAAATTTATTTTTATTTAGATTAGTTTCTGCTCAGATCTCAACAAGTTCCACAAACAATCTCCCGTAGCTCAACGGCCTTGGGCGAAATGCAGTTCATTTGCTGGGCGAGAATTGTATGATTTATGAAAATGCTCTGCGTATATTTCTGTTCTCTCCCCACTTTTAAATGGGTGGGCGTCGTCCCGCCCACATTGTAATACAATCAGGGGATCTGACTTGGAATTAAATCTGCTAACCGAGTTACATCGCCCAAGGAGGGTAGAATAAGAGGTTGTGTTCTGGGGCAGTGTTGCATATTCAACAATTGCAACAGCAAACCGACGAAGTAATAACAAATGCAAATTTTAAGCTCAAGAATTTTCGTTTGCAAAAATTGTATACATTTTTTTTAAGCTCATATTTTACTTATTTGTGCTTTTTGCCTTTGGCAACAGCAGGCAAAAGTGCAAATGAGTTTTGGCCGCTTCCCCTGACAATTGAATTTGTTTAAATTGTTGCCTGGTAAATTTTGCTGAGGGAGTGGCGGAATGCTAACCATGCATCAGCAATCAGGAAAGGGGAGATCCACTAAAACTTCGAGTCGCACCACATTGTCCTCCTCGCTGCGCTGAGAGCCAATATAATCAAGCGGCAGCAGCTGACAAAAATGATGTGGCAATGTGTGCGTATGTGTGGGTATGTGTGGGTACGTGCGGGTTGCACTGAGAAAAATACCTTTTAAATAAGCTAAAGTTTCTGTTAATTAATAAGGAAAATATGGCTAAGCTTGATAAGTATGTACCAAGCAAAACTAATGATCATTTTTCACTTCCATATTACCATTTAAATTCTAACAAAACGTGGAATTGTTATTTGAAACCGAACTAAATAGATTTGGTTACACATCAATTATAAAATCGATGACTTAAGCTTGTGGCTATAACTTGAATAAATACGATTTTCTGAACTTAAAGAGTGGAGAGAACGTTTTGCTCACTTCTTCAGAAGAAAATCTCTCAAGACTTGTGTAAATATTTCAGCGTAATAAAATACCCAATTGATTATCGATCCCTTTCGAATTTTTGAGCCTGTATATGGTGTTCAAGGGGCAGCAGGCTGCAGGACTTTCCCACTGATGAGTTCACTTCAGTGAGCAAATGAAACGATATTGTTGTCAATTTAGGTGCAACAAAGAGCAGCAATGCGTTCCGTCCTTTTCCATCCGTCGGCAGACAAGGACAAGACTAAACAAACAGCATGCATGATGAGCGAGCGAGAGGGAGAGAGAGAGAGACTCGTCCTGGCTACAGGATGTGGAAGGGGGAAAGCGATAGCTGGCGTAACAACAAAGGCAAACAACAACAAATTGCATGTCCTTCCGCCTAAGGTTGCAGTACAATATACAACGCACTCATATTTACTTTGTTCGAAGGATCCTGTTTCCAGGCTTTCTGTCTCCCTCCCTTTCCCCTCTCTCCTCTTCCCTCTCGCTTGCACCTGGACCTCGGCGAACTGCTCGCCCAGTTGCAACATTAATGAAAACTGCAAGCGACCTGACACAGAAACGAGTAAGGTGGCGAAATTGGCGGAGGAAAATGGGAGGGAAAAGCGGGCGGAGAAGGAAACACGGCCATGGCTGCTCCTTTATTTACAGAATGAAGGGAAGCGGAAGGGAGGAGGAGGAGAGCCTTTCCAGAATTGGACAATATTCTTAGCCATTTTCAGTGCCTGATTTTCCTCGAGGTGATCTAGGATAATTGCCAACTAAAGTGGGCTTAATGGTCTGGCAATTCAAGGAAACTTGTTTAAAGACACAGTTTCATTTAAATATAATTACAAAGATATAGATTGTTATCATACATCATCAGCTTTGCTATAGATTACCTCATATTCGTTGCATACAAATCCCTGCAATTTTACTAAATGAAACACAAACCGCAATAAATAAACAAACTTTATTTTAAATTTAAAACCAAATTGAGATAAATATGCCTGCGATGATTTACCAGAAATTGAAGCTGACACAGTTTGTTGAACATTTTGAGCAGGCTGCTCATATAGATTTTGTCCGATATATACATAATTGATATGATGGATTTTTATTTTTCAATTTTTCAGTCAGTTTTGTGAATTTATTCTAGGCCGTTTATATCCATTAAGCTTTATTCTAATGCGTGCTTTGACTAAACACACAACAAAACTGATTTAAAATCATGTTTAAATTGAAAAACCGTATGGATTTCAAAAATAAATTTGCGCTGGAATAAAGTGCTAATTTGGTTTTAGTGCAATTAAAATTATAAAATAAACACCATCTTAATTCAAAGCTAATTTCGGTTAAGCGTATTTTAATTAAACACGAGCTTTGCATAGTCAGAGTTGATTTATTATCGATAGATGGGTTGATAAATAGACGGGTAAATAAGTTAAATAAATAAATAAATTAGGCATTACAATTAGGCGTAGACTACAGCTGAGAGAGCAGAGCAGTGAGAAATGGCTTTTACGCTCGAGGACCCTCCACTTTTAAAGGACTCTCCCTTTAGAGCCTGACAACTTCGACGCCCTGAGGGGCAAACAAGGATTCGGCGGCCAATTTGAGTTTCTCGTTGACCAATTTGGCGATTTTGGGCGTGCGTCGCCACACAAATTCGCGGGTGCGGTCGTGATTGTCCTTGCTCTCCACCTCCACCTGTGTATGTCAAAGGTTGATTGGTCAAAGGACTCTAAGCAAATCTCCGGCATGTCACTCACCTGCTTCGGCTGCTGCACCTTGATGGACATCAGGGTGGCCCGATCGTCGAGCACACTGAACTTGATGCGTCCCATCATCTCGTTCGTCCTGGCAGTGGCACTCTTCACGCTCCTCACACTGCCCTTCTTAAAGGACTTCTCCACTCGCAGGATCAGCGGACCCAGAGTAAACTTGGCCTTGATTGTCGAGTTGCGTCCCTCGGCATCACTGATCACCTTCACATTGCCCACTCGCTTCAAGGATGCCAATCCGGAGAGCCTGCCCTCCGCCTTCTGCAGCTTCTCCACCGCCACTCCCGATTGTCCTGCCTTGCTGGATCCACCAGCGGGCTGATTGTAGTTACCTGATTTTAGGCCAGCCGCCTTTTTCGTGTTCTGCTTGTTCGAGGACTTCTTTTGACTCTTCTGTCCCGAAACGGTGCGCGTTTCCGCCTTCGGTGACTCCGAATCGGATGCAGAGGCAGCGGGTGGGGAAACGGGGTCAGAGGTCGATTCAACGGGCCTCTTTTCAACGGCTTTGATGGCCAGCTCGGACTGTAATTGCGTCAATTGCTCCTGCAGCTTCACCGCAGCCTCCTGGTTCGAATGGCCGGAACGAGGCTCCGAACGCGTGTTCTTCCTGCAAAGGGACACACAATTCGAGTTCGTAATTAGGAGCCACCTTGATTGCTGCCCCACAACAGCTTTAAAGATTCACAAGGCATGAGTACATATATGAAATTTTGTTCTTTTAGGACTTTAAAGCCATTAAATTAAAGCATTGGATGATTTTTTGTGAATTTTTTAACGCGTAATTTTACTTTCTGAAACTCAAATGGTATGCCTTTAAAGGCTTAAATACCGACCGAAATTTAAAAAATCATCAACATTACTGAAATAAAAAACAATTTTAAAAGTACCTGAAAACCTTAAACATTTTAAGAAAGTAATTTGAATTGCACCACGAAATAACGACATACAAATTAAAACTTGTACAGAGGTTAATTAAGGGAAATTACAAATTCTCAAAGGCAAGCCACACTTACAACTTCTTGTGTCCCCCGACCTTGCTGTTGGTGGACTGCTTCTTGGTGGCGGCCTTGACCGTTGACCCACTCGCGGGGCCAGAGGCCAAGCGACCCGTGAGATTGACCACGTAGGGATCATAGTTGTCGGCCACGATGCGATTGATCCTCGAGAAGATGGCGTCGATGAAGTGGTTGTGACGTGCCTGGAACGCATCCGTGGACATGTCGATGACGTTGTTCTTTAGGTCACCTGTGTGGGGTCAAGGGTCGCGGGGGCAGGGGCGGGAAAAGGGCGGCAGGGGGTGGAAAAATGTTCACATTAGTTCGGTTCAGCTAAACACAATGAAAGTTCAAATCTGGGGGAAACACGGAGTGGGCGGACATTGTGGTTTCATTTTCGTGAGGGTGAGTGTGGGTGTGATTTTCCATACGCATTCGCTTTGTTTTCAACCTCTAATTACATTCAAGTGCAGGTGTGTGTGTTTGTGTGTGTGTGTGTCTGCAGACCGCAGATACACACACTAGCACACAAAGAACCCAGTGATTACATGGTGCGTGTGTGTTAGTGGCTTGGTTTAGCAAATAATGTAAAAAAATAACACCAACATTGCAGCCCCACCTCCGACATGCAGTTGAGTTCACATTTGTGTACGAATAAATAAAAATCCAATAACCGTGCCTCAAACAAGCAATTTATAGCAGTTTCCCTATCGTAAATCATGGAAAGTAGTGTGTTAATTAATAGCGTGCTTAATCATTTGATAATTAAGTGATTTGTTGTGCCATTTTGCTATTGCGAAATAAATATCAAATATTAAACTTGGCTTTTCCGCTATGTAGGTCAACCTAACGTTAGTTTAATGTTTTTAATATCACCAATTTGTGGTCTCTATATATATAAACGACCTTTTTATTTTTTACTGACCTCAAGTTTATTTAATAACAATGCAAACAAATAATTTTTTCTCATTTGGACTCGTTTTAAATTCATCAGATGTTTTAAATCAAAAACAAATTGTAATGAAATCTTTTAAAATAATAAAAATTAATTTATCAAATTAAACTAAAGTTGTCAACTCTGATTTATCAAATTGAAATAAAATAAATTTTTAAAAAACGAGTAAATTAAATTCTTATTATTTTATAATTACTTTAATCATTTCATGGGGTTTATTTGAAAAGGCAAGGTTACCCAAAAGTATTCATTAAAGGTTCCCCCTTTACTAATTTCCTAAAATAAAATCTACGGCTCGGCTAATTAGTTTTAAGGTATTTTTCGGTGGGGAAACTTTAAGGAAATCCCCCAAAAATGTGAGAATCCGACCTAGTGGTCAGTTAACCCGTAAATTTATTTCCGAAACTGTCACCCTCGGCGAGAGTGTGTGCAGCGATTCGCAGGACTTTCCCGACAGCCGGGATCCCGGGTCCTAATCCTTGTCTCCTCCTTATCGCGGTGACCCATCACCAGGGCACCGCCCCTTTCGCTGGGTTTGGGGCCCACAGGCCAGAGGATATAATCTCACACTCGACCACCGTTGAACGTGATGAGGTACTAATGTACTTTTTGCATGTTAAACCTTCCCCAGCCACAGTGAGTCCGTTAAGTACTCGCCCACGCCCGGAATCGGGTTCAGTTCAGTTTTAGCAGTTGCCCTTTTCCCTGGCTGTTAATTGAAGCGGGCGTTTTAAATTTAAACCGGCATATTCTAAAATAGATAATCGTGTGGGCGATGAGGGGGATTATTTCAGAGACGATTGGGGTAAGAAATGCACAATTACAATGGGCAAGGACGAGATCCAAACTAATTACAGCTGCAGATGGGCGAGATGGATGATATGGGGACTTGCCGAGATAGCACGGAACATTACTGTAATGACGGAAGTTGCTAATGATGAGAGAGTGTGTGTGTGTGTGTGTGCGGGGAGCGACAGAGAGGGGAAGATAACAGACAGAGACAGAGAGACACCAGTACCTTGCCTAATAAGGTGACGCTTGAAAGTATGCTACGAGAAATGAAAACACAAAATTTCCAATTCCACAGTTTCCAATACCATTAAAAGTTACACAAGGAATTCATTTCGCAAATTTATTTAAGCAAATTTTCATGTTGTTTTGTGGTTTGTTCTTCATCTTCTTGATTTGTTTTTACAATAAATAATAAATAAATAAATAAATAAATAATAAATTATAAATTAAATGACCTAAAACGCAAAGTTTAACAATTCTCTATTTTTTGTTGTGAAATTTTGCGCTGCCTTTCAAGCGTTCAACTTTTAGCTACAATTTTTTGTTCTTTTAGTTTGACAGATTTGTTTTTTTTTTTGTACAAAATTTGCGTTATTTACGTTCGGAAAATTATGCGAGCCGAAAAAAGAGTGAGGAAAAGCCAAAGATACAAAATATACATATTTTGATTCATCTAAAATGTTCAATTGTAAGCCAAATGTGTGAAAGCAAGAGATAGCTATAGTGCTTAAATGCGTGTGTGTGTGTGTGCATGAGAAAGATAGACATAGACAGATAGATAGAGATAGAGCGAGTGAGATAGGCAGTTGTTTACATCATGATAACTAATTCCGAATCTGATTTGTTTTGTTTAATTACACAAATAAATACGAAAAAGAGATTACAACTAGAAATAAATAAATTACACTAAGTGAACATTTCTTATTGCTGTTTGTTGTTGTTGTTACATCAATTTAGCTATAAGTGTATGCGGGGTGTGTGTGTGTGTGTGAGAGAGAGAGATAGATATGTGGATGTGATGGAGTGGAAAAGAGAGAGCAAGGGAAGCCATTCTTTCTGCGATATCTTGTTCTATAAATTCTTCTCTTTGCTGCGATATCTCTTTTCAATTCTTCTCTTGCTCTGCTTCTTCTCATTCTTCCGCCTCCAATTCTTCTGCGCCTTTTCTTCATCTTCTTCATCATCATCATCTTCTTCTTCTTTGTCATCATCTTTGTGCTCTCTTTGAATTCAACCATTTTTGTGCTTGGGCATTAAACATGTTGCTGTTGCAGTTGCAGCTGCAACTAGTGTTGCTGTTGTGCGTACAGTTGCTGTTGCAATTCTTTTGTCAGGTGAAACAGTCCGTGCGTAAATAACTCAACAATTGTGCGTTGGGGGATATATAGTGGGGATATTTTGGGAATAATTGTGCTGATTTTGTTGTTTTGCAGATAGTTTGACTAGCACCAAACTCTCGATGAACCCATCCCCTCATCGGGGGATGCGTAAACATATGTACTTAACTCAGTTTTAAATAAATTATAGGATAGCGAGGGGTGGGGGGAGGATAGTCAGTGCAGGCAAAGATGCAATTGCAAAAGTCCGGATCGCGTCGTGCCCCATTGGGAAAATGTTTTAGAAAATTCGCTTTCCTTTTTTATGATTTTTCGGGGCTTGTCATTCTTTGTTGCTGTTGTTGTGGTTCTTTTTGTTGTAGGTCCCTGTCTTTAGTTCTGGCGGTTGTTGTTGTTTTAGTTGTTGTTATTCATTCAGCAATTGTTTGGTTAATGCTTCAGCTCTTTTTTGGCCTTCTTGGAGGGACTTGTTGATTTCTTGGCCTTGGTTTCTTTCGTCGCCGTTTCCGACTTCGATTTGGACTCACGTGCTTCGCGGCGGGCCTCGATGATGTCATCGCCGATAATGTCATCGTCGTCATCGTCATCATCATCGTCGGCCTCCTCGTCGTCGTCACCGGCGATACCTGTAATTTCACCAATTTCATCGACTCCATCATCAATATCATCACCATCATCATCATCATCGTCCTCGTCGTCGTCCTCATCATAATCGTCATCGTCAGCGTTGTCTATGTCATTGCCGGCGCCAGGGGCAACATTCCCCGGAGCAACATTGCCTGCAACAACAACTGCTGCCGGCTGTTGCCCCAAGGTCGTCGTCCCACTGGCCACCAGCTTATTGTTAATGATGTTGTTGTTGTTGTTGTTATTGTTGTTGGTTAGAGTGTTCTGGTTGACTGTGCTTGTTGTTTTTGTTGTTGTTGTTGTGGTTGTCGTCGCATGCTGAGATGAAGCCAGTGATTGCTGTTGTTGTTGCAGTTGCTGTTGCTGCTGCCGTGTGTTTGTTTGTTTCTGTTGTTCGTCAATTGCAAGGGTGCTACTTAAACTACTACTTGTGCCACCACTAACACCATCTACCAGTGCGTCTTCATCGTAAAAAACATTTTGTTCACCTTCGGAGTTGCTGGCAGCGGCTGCCGGGGCAACGGCAGCGGACACGGACTCATCGGCGGCATTTCCGGCGGCCACGGGCTCCGCCACATTTCCGGACTCGGCGGGCAGATCCACGCCATCGGAGATGCCGGCGCTCACGGAGGAGGCGGCAGCGGGTGCAACCTCATCCAGGGTTTGGGCGGGAGCGGCGGCAGCGGCGTTCTGTGGGGCACTGGCAGCGGGAGCCACCTCGTCGTCGTCATCCTCATCATCATCATCTGGAAAATACGAAATATTAGCAAGCTCGTCTTTTAACTGGATGAAAATTATATGAAGGTTTCATTTATGTGGCGCCCACTGGGGGATTTATTCTAGTTAAAGCCAGCTATGCTTTATCTTCTTTTATAATGACATCATATTTCAAATATTTAAAATTTTCTATTTATATAAAAATTATTATTTTCTTCGTTCTCTTTTTTTAAAAAACTTGGACAATTCTTTAGTGATTTTCAATTACCTCCCAGGATGTCATCGAACAGCCTGTCCAGATAATCATCATCGTCATCGTCCTCCTCCTCGTCATCATCGCTGGCAGTTGCCGCCGGGGCAGCTTGACCCTGGGGCGTGTCATCCTCCTCGTCGTCGTCGTCGTCCTCCTCCTCATCATCATCTGAAAGTCCCGAAATCAAAAGAACTTTTGTTACCCAAGGAGAAGGGAACCGCACAGAAGAGAGTCACAAAAAATGTTGGTTAATAAAAGCAGGACAAATATCGTTTTTGGCTTTGGTGCTGATTGCATTGTTCGGTGGTTAAGTGGTTCATTCAGTTCAATACAGTGGTGCTGTGCTGGTGGTGCTGCCTGGGTGCATTCAGTGATCTAGAAATCGCTCTCTTAACCTACCATCATCGTCATCGATCAGATCTCCTAGATCGGGCTCATCATCGTCGTCCTCGTCATCGTCATCCTCATCATCATCGCTGGCAGGAGCCACCGCCGGAGCCACTTCATTGTTGACCGCCTGCTGCCGGGAAACAGCCCGCTCGCTCCTGGAAAGTCGCTGAAGGGGCGATGCCTCGATTTGCAGCAGCAACGCGCTCAGCACGCACAGTAAAATCACGAACTTCATTTTTTCAGATCTGCAAAAAGAAATGAAATACAAAAGATAAGTGGGAAATCAAAACTTTGTATAATATCTCAATAAGAACATTGTTTCAGTAACTGTTATTACAAAACTAACACAATACAATACTTCGTAAAGCCCTTGTACTATTAAAACATCAAAGAAAAAGTTTTTAAGTTAAAAAAATATAAATTTTTCTTTGATTTAAATCAAATCTTCTGGTTATCAAAAAATAAGTGTTTTTAAATCTCTCGTTTCTTTGTACTGTGATTTTTTATTCCCCATTTGTTTTCTCAGTGCAGTCACTTTCTTTTTCATGACTGCGAAATTACACATTTAGTGGGCAAACGACAGTCGGTGTTGCAGAGTGTGGAGTGGAGTGCAGTGGTGGGTCGGTCAATAAGCCAGCCACTAAAGAAAGCAGACAAAGGAGCGGCGCCCATGTGAGAGTGCGAGTGTAAACATGTTTTTGAGCTACGCCTCAAAGTCGCCGCCGGCGGTGCTCACATGTCCAGTTGCTGGCACTTGACACACAGCAGCAACAGTAACGGCAACAACAACAGCAACAGTTGCAACACCAACACCAACAGCAGCAACAGCAGCAGCAGCAGCTACCTGAGCAACAACAACACCTTTTTGGACAGCTGCAGGCGCCACAAAGTCACTGAAAGGCTGACAGATATCTGTAAGCGGGTCTCACGATCCCTGAACTCGCCTGCAACTTCTGAGGAAGTCCGACTTCGAAGCGTATTCCCCAATTCGGTTTGCTGTCCTGGCATTGCTCTCGTTGTTGTTGTTGCTGTCGAGATGTTGCTGCTGTAGATGCTGTTGTTGCCATCTCCGGTGGCTTTTTAGTCATGACAATCAGCACGACCAACAGCCAACGGCAATAGCAAACAACCGCAGCAATTGTTGCTGCTTTGTTGTTGCTGCTGTCGCAGATGTTTCTGTTGTTGTTGTTGCTGCTGCTGCTGCTGTTATTGTCGCAGTGTCAAGTGCGGCTGCTGCGGGCTTAGTGAAAGCGACTGAATCGCCGACTGCGACGCAACGTTTTCCCGAAAACTTGTTCGCAGCAATTTGTAGCTGCAACTGTTGTTGCTGTTGTTGCAGTGGCTGCTGCTGCTTATTGAAAAATGAGTAAAGCGCTTTCTGGAAATCAAGTCCAGCGCTGATAAGCAAACCGGCAAAGTGGCCATAAACCAAAGTGAAAACCCAGTGACCCACTGGCCAACTGCAGTAGCAACATCATCAGCAGCAATGGCAGCACTAGCAGCAACATTAGCGACAGCAGCAACATTGCAACGTCTGTCGGTTTTGAGAGGGCTTCAGTTTCGGGTTTTAGGGCTGGTTTTTTGATAAGCCGCCAAGTCGGTATTTCACGGCGTTCCAGTGTCTCAAGTTTTGTGAAGTGGAGGACTGCCAGCAGCAACACCACCAGCATCACGGCAGCAACATCAGCAGTTGCCGTCGCTTAATTAAAAGTTTTACCGAGCGAAGCTCCTCAGCGGTGTTTATTAAATACCGATGCTCCAGGCAAATACCTTCTGAGCCGTCGCGGTGCTTGGAAACGCGGGGGAAAAGGCGGAGCGTTAGGCAAAATATGATGACATATCACCAAGAAAAAGCGAAGAAATCTGACGAACAGTGGGTGTTAATTACCCAGAAAATGTGAGACTTCTACAACGATTTGTTTGCCAAAGTACAAGGCCACGTGAATTTTAATTAAGATTAAAATGAGGAATTCAGATTTTTTGTAGAGAAAACACTGAAATCATAAAAGTAGATAAAAGTTTGCAGATTGTTAACTGAAACCCAAGAAGTTTGGCATCGGATTTCGCGATAAAATCTGAAAGGCAAGTAAACCAAATCAAAACTAAAAACATTGTGCCACCCACACTGTTGCACATGCTATTTTTCCACTGTAAGCTCCCTTCGCTTTCCCAAAGGCCTTCTGTTTCGAAGTACTTATAAACTCCTGCCTATTGAAGTCTTGGGGAAATTGCATTTACTTTTCCCACCGCTCCGCCCTTTTTGCCGCCGAGCGGCTTTATCTACCATTTTTCTCACCGAACTCGGAACATTTCACGCGTCATGCCGCAAAAACGGTTAGAACAAGAGAAGCGAGGGGGGTTCCATGGGTTGCTAGAAGGTTTTTGCGGGGGGGGGAGGAGGTGAAAGGGTTGAGGGCTGAAGGGCAGGCCAACAATGCAATGCAAAACTTCTGACAGGCGTGGGACAGAAGGAGAATGAACGGGGGCAAGTTTTTGCAGTTCTTTAGCTTTGGCAACCACTTGGCTCTCTCTTCTTCTTCTTCTTTTTCTTCCTCTTCACCAGATTCTTTTTCTTCTCCTTCGTTATGGTGTTGTCTATTGTAGGGACTAACTCATATGGAACGCTGCTCCCACTATACAATATTTTAATGCCCCCATAGAAAAACGCAGCTAACCGTGTGTGCATTCTACATTAATATTCATGTGCGTGATGCTGATGGAAAAGATACTAGAAAGGGTACACAAAGAAAAAAATGTGTAATGTATTTCAGATACATGAAGGTACTCGAATTAGCTATCATTTGTAACTATTTCTGACTTTTAGAATTTTGTAAAACTCATTTAAAAACATTGTAAGTTAATTTGTGTATCTTCATATCAGCTTTCCTACCTTTCCTATTAAAAGGGTATACAATTTAAATTGTAACTTAATTATTAAAAGCATAATTGAAAAAGCAACTATTCCATTTAAATTTGTAAGTTTATGAATTACTTGTTAAATATGAACTCTTGAATTTGTTGAATTTTTCTCACTGCACTTTGGCTTTGTTTGCTGTGCACTTGCACGTCACACATCCAGCAAAAATTACTTAAGCTCCACTCAGGGGAGCGAATGGGATTGGGGGATTGGGGGAGTGCTGGAGCGGGGCAACTTTGAACTGGGGTAACTATTGAAGGCGTTCGCCTGAGGCGTGGCAGCTGCCACTTGACGTTGGGTTCCACGCTAGCTGCCTCGATCCGCATTGTCATATCAGCGTCATATCAATAAATATGCAGGCCGCACAAAAGGCCACGTGCAGACAGGATTTGCATGCCCCAAACATTATGCCACCCCAGCTGCACCTGATTTTCCACAGCCGGGGAACCGAACCGTCTTTGTTCGAGTTTGTCTCATATGTTTGCGGAGCCTTGTCTTCGCAGCTGCGTTGCAGTTAATTTTCCAAGACAATGGCCCACATGGTGGTGTAGAAAAATAAGCTTTACACGTGCCGCTTCAACGACCACGCCCCCTCGAAATTTACGGTAAGCGTTTTTGGGCGGGGAGCAGCTGAGGAGCTTTTTCGTGGGGTTTTAAATCACAGAAAAAGGAAGAAATTGTTTCCACGGAGAAGTGGTTCTTTAAAAAGAATGTTGCAAAATTGTTGAACTATGCGAAGTACAAAAGAAATTTTTTACAAAGTAAGCACTGAGAATGTGCATAAAAAACCAAGAAGCTCATATATTAAATGCTTAAAATAATTAAATAAAAAGTTCATGAAAAAAGTTAATGTGATTGTTTAACTCTCTGAACTGCTTGACAAAAAAGTGTTGGTAAGTAAGATTGCAAAAATATTTGTATCTTTAAAACACTGAAAGTTTTAAACTCAACTCTGCTTTAAACTGTAGCATTTGAGCAGACTTTTTTATGTTTTCAAAGTGCACAGTCTGAGCAAAAGTTGCTATCGTTGTTCCCTATGCTTTTTGCACTCTGTTTGCCGCTCTCAGCACTTCTTTTTCGCATGCACTCGCACGTCACTTGAATTAGGACTTTGTTATCGTCGCGACGGCGCCACCTGGCGGAACAAGCCTGCACTTGTCGTCGGACAGGGGGAATCCCCGTGAAATCTCCGGGGTGACAGGCTGCATAAACTTGGTCATGAACCAACTACTTAGAAGAGCAGAAGGCAAGGGCACACAATATATATAGGAACTCTGCCGGGGGAATGTGCGAAAAAGTGAAAAAAATAAATTGGAGCCACTCGAATCGCCAGCAGACTTTGCTCTGTTAATAGCTTGTCCTTGCTGCAAGTACACACCAATTCATCCGCCCCGTTGGCCCGAGTGTGTGTGCTTTGTTTTGGCAGCAAAGTGCTGGCCAATGTAAACAGTGTAAACTATAACTTGGCTGGAACTGGTTGAGAAGCTGTGCTGAGCGCTGAGCTGGCCAGGAAACACTTAAATTAACTGCTTCAAGTCGTCCAAATGTGGGTCAGCTGGGCAGAAGAAACCTGAGAGGCCGAGAGATGATTACTCAACTTGGTTCGCATCGGTTCCGTATAGTTTGGATTGGCTCGGTTTGCTCTGCTGACCGCAGAACCCCAAACAACATCAGTGTGGGCACATGTGAAAATGGAGCGCATAAAAACCAGAGAAATTGCCAGCGAAAAGAGGAAACGGGGAACGGGGAAAATCCAAGTGTATTGTACTACACTGGCCCTAAATTGCCGCAGATACAATTTATGACCCGGCCAGTTAAGAGTCCGACTCCGGGCACAACTTGCCTTCCGCAGTTGAAAATCAATTAAAAGTTCTTGCCCAAGACGTTTTGGCCCATTCGAAGGCTGCATCGCGTCGAGCTGAGCTTTATGGCCCCTTTATGTTCGGGGAAACTCGGGGAGGGAAAATCAGGAAGGAGGTGCGGGGAAAGCGGGCATGCAAACGCTTACGTTTCCCACAAAAAATACAAAAAAATAGTGAAATAGTTCAAGAGGGAAGGCTAAATGGAACAGATCGAAATCGCTGGCGTGCCGCTCCACTTTCACGTACTTTTTAGTCCAATGCTAACTTGCAAACTTGACTTTAAGGATACTGATATTTTCACACAGCAAAATCGATGATAATCCTTGAAGCATGCTCACACTTTTTGCTGCGACTGTAAATATTAGTAGAAGTTATTAACAGTCGTTGACTTTGTCTGCTCTAGATGTTCTTAATCTTTCGAGAGGGAATTCTGGTTTCACATATTCTTGTGATTTTTAATTATCCATATTGAAGTTACCAATTAGAGAAGCGTTGCCACTGAGTATTGTACTCTAAAAAATCAAACTAAAATCTATCACCTTGGTTGAGGTTAAGTTTCTAAATTGGGAATCCAAAAAACTTGTAATTGTAATCTGAACAACTACTATTTTTGAATGCTTTGCATATCCATTATAAAATTGCATAAAATGCTGATCTAACAAACTACCACAAAGTTTCAAGCAGAAAATATTTAACTACAGTTATGAATTTAAATTGTTCATAATCCTTCGCGCTTTGCTTGATTTTATTTTATCCGCTTGCAAAGCTTTCAATAATTAGTCAATATAATCCTTGCTAATTTCAAACCATTGCACACAATTGACTTTAATAATCCTCTTGGCTTTCACACAGTCTTTTTTCTTCCATTGGTAATCCAAAGGCTAACCTTGACTAAGTATTATTCACTGATCTTGGCACTGAATAACCGATAACAACCGATAAGAGTGGGTTTATTTTTTGGACCGATTCGAAGCGCTGCGATCTCCTCGAGTTGCCGTGAAAGACTGTCGCTGGCGAATCGCTTCTTGGATGGTTTTGAGTCTTCAGTCTTCAGTCTTGAGCTTCGAGTTCGGGGCCCCCTTTTCTTCTGCCCGATTCTTGGACAGTGACTTTCTTTTTTACCGCCTCTCTTTACCTGTTTTGTTTTTTTGTTTGTGGCGATTCGATTCGTTTCGATTCGAGTCGAGCCGATTGTGGATTGTGGATTCTGGCCTGAGCTTGGCTGGCTTTTCAGAGATTCGGATTCGGGTTCGGTTTTCCAACACCGCCGCGCACACAACTGTCTCGCTCGACTGACCGTCTGCAACTGATCGCTGGCAGCCAGCTTGTCTTACCAACTTACCAGCCAACCTACCAGCCAGCTAACCAGCAAACCTGGCTCACAAAACCCGAAGCTCGGCCCGAAGCGTGAATTTACATTTGGCTGTGCGCTTTCTTGGCTCTGCGGCTCTCTTCGCTCGATTCTTCAATTAATTTGACGAGCTGGGCTGGCCTGGGAAAGTATTTGGCACACTAAACGGCCAGCTATAACAGTTAGCGGCTTGTCAGCGAACCAAAAACAACAACAACAACAGAAACAACCAACACTCGTGAGCCATGAGCTATGATCTAAGAATCCACGGCGGGCGGGTTTCGTTGTCGGCAGGCAAGTTTTATTGCAGCTCTAGACAAACAAAAATTAAATAGAACAGGCGAAGGCAATAAAGCACATTTAAATGACTGCACGAATCATAAAATTCAAATATTCAATTACTTAAGCCGGAAAGCTGCCACATAAAATGTGAGATAAAATTTAATTAACCTGATTTGTTTGAACTTTAAATGGAAAATATACTTAAGCAAATTATTTTATTGAAACCACAAGTAAACATTTTACAGAAACTTATTTTATAATCAATTATTTTGATGGCCTTTAAGTTTTGTCATTAATTTGGCTTAGCGAATTTTCTTATTTAAAAGGACAATCTTTAAAGGCTTGATTTGCTTTTTGGTCAAATGAAATTCTGTTGGACTTCCTGGTTTCCCCGCACCGAGCAATCCGTACATAAATATTTTTGCCACCTGGAGTTGCGAATCGCAGAGTGCTATATTAATATTGATTTATTCAGTCATCGTTCCGCACCCTAACCCCATTCCGCATTCTCCCGGCCCCGATCGAAAAGTATTATGCATATATAGATGCCAGAGCGTTCCCCAAGTGCTAATTTCTGTTTCGGCTTCTGCCGAGCTGACCAGCCCGTCAAAGTGAAATCGCAATGGGGCAGGTGGGGTAAATCAAAAAAAAAAAAAAAAAAAAAAGTAAATACGATTTATAGAAATACATACGATGATAAATTGAGGTGTAATTAATTCGATTCGCCCTGACTGACGTTTCATTTTCAGTGTCCGGGACGAGGAAAATTGACAGTCACTGCACTGGCACTCAAAGTCAGAGCTTTCCCACATACTCGGGAAAATTGTTCGACGTCGACGGCGACAGTGACGTCGACCGAGGCAGCAGCAGCAGCGGCAGCGACGTCGACTGAGGCAGCGATGGTAAACTCCAACAGTAAAACGTGTTCTACTCGTTTATGGCCAACACTGCGGCTGCTTCTTCTTGGGCAAAAGTTGTTTTTACTGTAGTGTATAGCTGTCTATAACTTTCTTCTTGGCCAACTGGAGCCGCTGTGAGCCAAGTTAACTGGCTGTATGGCATAGTAAAGTCGCTGTTAACAGGTCAGTGGAGTTTTCTTCTTAAACTTCCAACTTAGCCCGCTGCCGAAAGACAGAAACCGAAACCGAGTGTCTACGAACTGCCGCAGAATGTTACGAAATTTTATGTAATGTGCCAAAAAAAAAAAAAAAAAAATAGAAAAACAAACAAAATGAAAAAATATAGGAAAACAATCTGAAAAAAACAATGCTCTGCTCGGTGAACAATGCCCAGAAAACTTTCATTTCAAGGCAGCAAACAAAACTCTTCGCTTGGCCAAACTTTAACTATTTTTGAGGGGAAGTCGACCCGAGGCAAGTTCAAAAAGCATATAATTTTACATTTTAATGGCTTAATACACTTTGACATTTGCCTTGGCTTTGGGGTCACACAGGTGGTTCACAAATTGCGGGAGGTGAAAACAATCGCATCAACACTTGGTTTACCCCTTCTCTTCGGACTAATCAAAATCCTTCCTTCCACTGCTAAATATTTCAGGACTCTTTTCCTGCTCCATTTGACTAATTAATTTCTGGCCAACTTGCTGGGCTTGAGTCAGTGGCTTCGTGGGGGGTTGCCAAAACTTTTTCCGGTTTATTAATTTTTGTTGCACTTGTTGTTGTGCTGTTTAGTTTTCCCGAAAATGCCACCCGATGAAAATCGTTTCCAGCGATTGGCACTTCTAATTGAGAATTTCCGCTCACCTATTTGGCGATAAATTCAGCAATTAATTATGCACGTCTCAGGAATTAGCTATTTAGGGATAAACCTTTAATGTAAACAATATTGAAAAGAAAAACAACTTTCAAGAAAAAGAAATTGCAATAACGTTTAGCTTAAGATTATAGGTTAAACATTTTAAGTAACCTAAACATCAAATTAAAATACGAACTGATTATTTAAATATGCTAACTAAAATCTAAAAAAATTAAAATGCAGTTCAACTTAGCTCATCTATAACCTTTATTTTAAAATATTTTAAGCCACAAACTCCGCATTAGGAATAATTCAAATTCTGTTCTGTTTAATCGCTCGGAAGTTTTAATCCAATTAAATTGAAGTAAAGGTGGGAACTTTTCTCTGTCGCTGCTTTTACTTCAATTCTGCTTCACTTTTACTGTTATCAGCTTATCACTAATTGCCGTTTCTCGGTGCTTAACCGCTTTTCGTCCGTGAAACTCCTTATTAACCCAATAACGCCCCGCCCACAACTCCACGATTACCGCCCACCGCCCACCGCCACGTTCATTGTTCATTTAACGCTCATTATTGTTCCGGTGCTCATTCAGGCAATCCAATTATCCTCACTAACCGACCTCCGTCGACAATTAAATGCATGAAATTATTTGATTACCAACGTTTTGTCGTTGTCTCAAACGAATTTCGCTTTTCTTTCACGACGAACACGAATTTTCTCCGTTTTTCCCTCGACTCCACGTGTGTTGCTTTTGCTGTTGGTATTTGTGGTATCGGTGTAATGGTTGTTATAGGTGAGATTATGCATGAAAGCGCTTCTGTGTGCTCGGAATAATCAAGGCTGGCACTTTTTTTTTTTTTTTTTTTTTGGGCGTGGCCAAAAAGGCGGGAGGCTGCTCTTCACACGCGCCAACTGTCAATAAATTGCGAGAGCGAAGAGTGATTGAGGGGGAGGAGGGGAGTTTCCGTACTGTCAACTAATCGATTTTGAAAAGAGGCTTATAGTTAGTGGCTAATATCGGTGCTGTTGCCACCACCACCACCACCACCGATTTTGCTGCCATTTGGAAATCGTTTTGGCCGCCCTGCGTACTGATTAAATGCAAAGTGCGTGCCACTAATTTCGCTTTATTTAAAGTGAGTACATGCATGTCGCCGGAGCCAAATGAAAAGCGTTGGACATCGCCGGGATTTGTATTTGGATTTGCGTTTGACGCCGCTGAATTTCATTTGCGCATTACATTCAATTTTTCATGCTGCCCTGCACCGCAGCTGCCTTTTGGTTTCGTTTTTATTTCTTTATGAATTCATTCACGTACCGCGCACAATAGGCAACTCAACTCGAACCCTCTTGACCGTTAAGTTCCTGCACAGAAAAAAACAAAAGGCACTTAAAAGGGTCCTAAGGTTAATGCAAAAGGAAAGAATAGCTTATACACATTTATTATTTGGGTATTCATATCGAGTACATAGTTCTTATTCAAATTATATTCCTTCAAACCCAATTCATAATTTTGATTTCATATATGAAACAGTTCTCTTTACAGAATATCAAAGCAAGCGTTTAAATTCTTAATCGATTTTTAAATTTTATTTATTTTATTGTAGCTTTTTGCATACCCAAGTATGGTTCTTTTATAATAACAAATTATATTTGGAGAGTTATTAATTAAAAAACTAATTATTCGATGGTAATAGGTTACCATTTTAACTTGTTGATATTGTTTGTCATGACACAATATGTTTCTTTGAGTTGAATTTTTTAAGAAGTTTTGTCCTTTCTAAATTCATCGTGTTGTGCAAGTGTTTTGCGTGCGCTAGAGGCCAATATATATTATATTATATAGAGTATTTCTCTAGGACACAGAAAAGTAATAAATAAACTTATGGATTTTTTCGCTGTGCCTGTGCAGCCGCCTTTGTCCGCCTTCGGTCTCATTTCGCATTCAATAAGCGAACGCATCCATCCATCGAACGAAAGCCAAGACAACCGAGGCAATTTCAATACAAGCGAACAAAATCAACGGCGGCAACAAGAAATGGTAAATGAAAGTGCCCTCAAAAGGTTTTCTAAATTTGTACCTCCAAGTGCGCGAAGAAGAGTTTTTTCCAATTCCGTTTTTTATTTTTTTTTTTTTTTCGTTTTTACTCTGGCTTGGTTTTTTTTCTGTTTTTTTGAGGTTGGGCTTAATTGTGTCGCAGTGCAGTGAATGACTGAGTGACGGAGCGATTGAGTGATTGACTGCAGTGAGAACTCGCCGGCTTTCAATTAGCGAAAGTCCGATATGCATATGAAGCTAGTTCTACCCAAAAATCATAAAATCGGAGTGGGCGAAACAGAAAAAGAAAGAAAAAGCTGTCGTCGGCCGGTTAGGATCGTTAAAATCGTTAAAACGCCATCTAATGAGCTGTTTATGCCTATTTTTACTTTCAGGTTAGCGGCTTCTATTTCTTCCCCAGGGCCAAGAGCCAGTGGCCAAGGCCTATTCGAAGTTGACCAAGAGACAAGTGGCACACCGGAAGAAAGTCAATGTAAACATTGATACGAGTTTTATTTAGAAAATAAATAAAACGGTTTGAAAGGTCTAATAACTCTAATTATACAAGAATAACTTTGCTCTCAAAATGATAATATCTGAAAATAAAAAAAAGTATTTTTTTATATATTATATATGGTAAATATATATTGATTAATAACGCATTATAAGATTAATAGTTACATAAATATAAAAAAAATCGTATTTGATAAACAGAATTATTTAAAAGCAAGAATTTAATATGTTGATGTGAAAAAGTATGTTTGCACTTTCGATTTCTTAAAAAGGTGTTAAAAACATTTTATGTAAATAGTTCTTGAACGTTAGCTATTATTAGGAAAAATGCAAATATTATTGCCGAAATGCTTTAAAATTCCTTGCCTGCACAGTGATAGA